ACTCTAAAAAAAACATTTCTTGTGCAACATGTTGTGTTTTTTGGTTATTTTCTTGTTGAAAAGTTCACGGATGTTCCAGCCTAAATTTTTTTATCAGACTGATATTTTGGTCCTAAATCTGAATATATTCTTTCTTCATGATCCTTTCCACCTTAAACAAGCTACCTGTCTCAGTGGTTAAGAAACATCTCTAAATCTCTATAGCATAATATGCATCTAGCACCATGTTGACTTTTGGAACAGTGTTCTCTGGCTTGAAAATGTAGTGATAGTCTAATTTAAATATGTGAAAAGTAGAGCCTATTGTCTCCCCTAGACAAGAACAGTTGTAAAGTTGTTCATATTCAGTTTGTGTAGCTTCTGACTTGAGTATCAACCACTATGATATGTGACTTTGCAACAAATAGATTTACACCTTTTCTATTAAATAAAAGCAAAATCCCTGTGATAAAGAATCTCAATTTTTGTTTCATATAACCAATTTGACAAAGATTCAAAGCCAAACAAACTTTTACATGCCTAGTTAGGAACATTGTTGTCTTCCTTGTTCATCTACATTTAGCTTGCGTCTGTATTCTTCATATATTGTTTCTTTCTCCTTTCTTCCCTATGTCAATTTGGGTCAGTTCTTTAAACATTTAAAAAAAAAATTACAAATTTTGATGGTTATGAATGTTTGGGTGCTGAACTGTATATAATTTTGAAAAGGCTTTAGTGTTCATTGATTGCTTTTATGGTTTATCAACACTTTGCAATTTATTTAAAGGGAGAAAATATTTTAAACTGTAAAGATTTTTTGGAGATAATAATGATTTAATAAGTTTTACTAATTAACCCATAGCTGGGGGAAGAGGTGGGTTCATACCTTTCCTAAAGATATTTATATATAATTAAATACAACAAACCCAACTGGAATTGGAAAACAACTCTCTGATTAACAATTCACCACCCCATTTCAACAGTGAACATTAAGAAAAAACATTTTAATGCATATGTGGAATTACACCACTTTGTCTACTAGGGGTTTTTCCTTAATGTCCACTAAGTGGCATCATATATAAAAGAAAAGAATACAAATCAACTTTCTCTTTTTTCTCTCTTCAACCACAGAACACCATATTGATAAAATGTATCATGTTTCCCTTTTTAGCTCCCAGGCATTGCACGCATCATATACAACACACTACACTATCTCCTGTTCAAAAAACCATGCAATCAGAATATCTTCCCAAAAACTTATCATATAAATATATATCTTCATTCAACACAAGAAAATATCCCCCAATAGAACAAAGGAGACAACACCACTACAAACTGATGGACACCTCGTAACAAGCTTGTAGCCTAATACCATTACAAGATTTTCAAAGAAACATATTCTCAGTCATTTTCTCAGTCACAGTAGAATGTTAGTAGGTCATAGAAGAAGAGATGTTTCTCTTTTTTTCTGACCTATGTTACACATTGTTCTGGATGGATATATATATAAAATCCATGTGTGTGTTGAATTCATTTATTTTGAGATTGTTAATGTTTTCAACCAAACCCCATTATAATTGTTAACCCTATTACATTTATTTCACCTTTGCACACAGGATATGTTTGTTGTAGTGGTGATGTGAGGGAGTATTTAAGCCAAATTTGAGGTGGTTAGAAATTTCTTTTTAATATGCCACCAGATATAATAACTTTCAGTGTTTACCTTTAGGGCTTAGATGCAAATAGAGAAAATATCTAAAATCTCAAGAGTAATTTTAACAAATTGGTTGGTTGATTTTATTTAGCAACATGTCAACATTTTTAATGCCAAAAGCTAAATATTTTGGACACAATTGTATGATTTCAACTAAATAGATTTTGTACACAATTTTATGGCTTCAACTAAATAGATTTTGTACACAATTTTATTCCTTCAACTACAGATAAAATGTATAGTTTGTTAGTTTTTATATAAAAATGTATTGCTGGTATTTTACTATAAGAACAGATTTCATAATGTTTTATTTTTGTTTGGGGTTTCACTATTTACCCATAGCTCAGACCCCTAATAGGTACTACTGCCCCACTAATAAATGAACAGACAAACAGCTACTTTATAAATTTAGTTCTGTATAAGAGACAAGCACCTTTTCTGGGCATTGGTCGTTGGCAGTGTGAGGATAAAGTTGCCATTGATTGTTGCTTAAGACAAGCATAGCTAAGAATCCTCAACATCTCTTACCATTTACTGAACAAATCCCTTCTGTTGGCAACATCAGAAGAGAATGTCACTTTCCAATATCTAAGGATTACTATCAGCTTATCTTTAAACTTCACTATGTGGGATATACATCAGCAGCTTACTAACAAGTAGACAAGTGGGCAAGACTCAGTGATAGATGAATGGCTGCAAGCCATAAAGCCCAAGGCTCCATCCAAGCACTTGGTTAGATGAGGCTCATTAACCCTAAATCCCTTCAGAATAGAGAAATTCATTTCAAATCAATCTGTCAGACCAGTACTAATAAAAATGACAATAGCAAAGCAACATAAGTACCAAGTAAGAAAAAGAAAACCTATTTCAACTCAACACATAAAGTGTAGAATGCCAAACAGTGGGCTTTCTGAGATATAAAAGTCGATTTCATTCAAATGATTGTATTTATGAGAATGGCTCAATAGTAAAAGACTAAGGAACAAAAGTTCTTCACTTTAAATCAGGTGCTCGGCTGAACATAACCGAAACATTTCGATGAGAGAGAAAGGGGACAAACATCTTAAATTGAGCAATTTCCAACCCCTGCAGCAATCTTTAACTCAAAGTTTAAATGATAAGAGTATAATATGTGTGTGTATGTGTGTGTGTGTGTGTGTAATCTGTATTATCAAAGAAGAGATGATTCTCTGTCTGTCACACAATGTCTGTGTATGAATTTCCATGCACATATGTAATGTGTTGTACATGTGTGTAACTTACATGTATTTGTGCTATTTGATATACAAAACATGCATACACACAAAATTTTGAAATAATACCTCTCCTCCTACTCAAGTCTGGACAACCCATACCCTCAACTGAACAATAAGATAATTGTTGGAGAGAAGGAAATAAAAAGTTAATTTTTTTAAACCCTAAAGAAATCATAACTAAGATTTTGTGGAATGTTTTGTAAATGATTTGGTTAAAAATAAAATTATTCTTTAATTTTTTTTTAAAATTTTGCAGAAATATTTTTAGATTTGTCATTGAATTAAAATAGAAATGCACACATGCAAAAGCACATTCACGTGCAATTTGAATGAAACTGAAATAGACATCTGTCTCAAGAGAGATGATTTCTCAGTCAAGCAACAACACCTGTGCAACTTGTTTCTTTTTAAACTAAATATATTTATTAATAAATGTAGTCTTTTAAATCAACAAGTAATTAGATTTTAAATTCGATCATGTTGCCATCAGTGAAGTGACAGGTACCAAACTAGTGTACATAGGCCTGCATGTATGTGTACGAAAGCGAAAGAAAGATTAGCTTCAAATTTGCTGTCTATTCTTTTTTGTTTGATTTCATTGACTGACCATTTCCAATTCTCAGTTACAGGACTTCCTGTCTAGTTCAGTAACCAAAGTCTAGGTAGCTATTTTGATTTAAATTCTATTCTCTCCACTATTACTTGTTTCCTGTCTTGCTGTGGTCATAAACATGATACAAAATCTAACAGTTGAGATCTTTATTTCTTCTTCAGACCACAAATAGTAGTTTCTCTAAGAATAATCTCTCCTCTTTAAGTAATCAATAGTCATGATAAGCTATTTGTATAATCCTTTTTATTCTATTTTCCTCATAAAAGTGAGTGCAAAAGTCAAAAGATTTCAGGTTCAATTCTAGATGATTTGTCAGAAATAATAACTAGCAGGGAACTATTTGAATTTTCTGATGAATCATAATTCTTCTTTTAATGATATACTAAAAGCTCCACAACTATAAAATACCTGGGAAAATTCTATTGCATTGTTAAATATGTGAGTGTAACTTTAACAAAATATTGCAATAACAATCATTAATATGAATGCAGGTCATTATTTAAAGAAGGAAGAGGGTACAAATGAAAAGATTTAAAAATAACAAGGTTTTTCATTGAAACAGATATTAAACACATGAAAGCATTATTGTCTCTGCTATCTCCCCTTTCTTTCTTTTTTTTTTTTTTTTGCTAACTGAAACCAAACGGAATCTATTGTCTTTCCTTGTAGTCAAAATGGAATGGTTCATTATTTATCTGAGGTAATGGCAGAGCATAACATACATGCTAACTCATTAACTAATGAAGAGACAAACATAATTAAAATATGATAATAATAATGGCTGATCTTTTCTGAGTACACTTATCGGCTAAGGTGGTGAATCTAACATCTATCTCTTTTGCAGACACTTATACAGACACAAGTGTGTTTCTCAGTGCTAATGTGTGGTTTCTACTGTGACCATCCTTAGTTAACCTTTATTACAGTTTCTGGTAGAGATCACACAATTTGTATGGTTGGTTGTTTACTGTCTTCTCAATCTTTATGAGTTATTTAATGCTAATTGGGAAAGGTATGAATCCTCTTCTTCTACCCGCCAGCTATGAGTAAATAGAATGACAGACTAGGTTCTATAGCCTTGGATGGCAACTGGTCTACCACAGAGAGAAATGGCAACCTACTGCAGGAAAAATCTGCCTCATCAGTCATGTATCAAAAGATACATGATCGCCTATGTGTGTATCACGTATGGCACATAACTGACTAAATGCTGAAATTTAAACATTTTGAACACAATTTTAATTTTTTGGTGATAATAATAGTTTTAGTAATACAATTTTTACTAATTAACCCATAGCTGGGAGAGAAGAGATGGATTCATACATTTCCCAAGGATATTTGCACATAAATGATTATAATGAACACAACTTGAACTCAGCTCTCTGATTAACAATTCTGAGCCATTATCCATTACACCAACTGCACCTCTAAGCTTAGACCACCTGGTATTTCCAAGAGGTCACCCATCTCAGTACTGACCAGGTTCAACATTGCTTAACTTCAGTGACCATACAGGAACCAGTGTTTCAACATGATATGGCCATTAGCCACAGAATTTGGTATGATCAGAAGTTGAACAAGGTCAGTATGCACAAACCCTCAGTCACAATGACTTGTTACTTTCTAGTAACACAATCATCTGTGGCTTCTGAACAGTATCATCTACTCAATTTCACTTGCTTCAGGTTCTTCCCAACAGTGCCACACACTGGTATCATCTCTTCAGAGTGATGCTATCAAGGCATCACCTCCTTGACAAATCAACCATATGATTCACATAGTCAAAACACTAATATTCTAACCACTTCTATATCTATCAACAAAGATAATCTTATTATTGTTCACCAAATATCTTTTTTGTCTGTCTGTAATCATCTAACTCAAAGATGAGGTATGGCTACCACATTTTCTATGGTTACTAATGGGCTACCGGAATTTGTTTTTAGGATATTTGCTTTTTCTAATTTCAAAACATTGTAGATTTTTAGTGAAAATCTCAATGTACAAAGTAATCATGATGTTAAACTAAACCCTTATTTTGTATCAGTCTGAAACTAAAACAGAAACTCTATATTTTCATTTCTTTGAATATTGTGTACTGGCATTAAAGAATCCCAAGCAAAGATCTCTACCAAATAAGAGAAACCACATCACATGAGGACTACCAACAGCAGCAACAACTAAACTGGATAGCACATGTAACTGAAAAAGAAAATGATAACATAATCAAGATGTTAACATTTTACACCACTTCAAATAAAAGGTTGGGAAGAAAACCCTCATCAATACTAGAAAGAGCAATATCAGTTACAGGCTTGAGAAATCTATTTTCTTGAAAAACTGTCTTTAAGAGAAAAATTTTATAAATTACAGCTAAAAGTAGTACTAGCTGCTCAGTTAATGAATGCCAAATGTTTCCTTATAGGGAAATGACTAATATTACCATATATAGTAGGAACTTGTATAGCCAAAAGCCTAATTTATAACTTTTTGTCATGACTTGTTTCCAGTCACAAAAAAAATCAATATAAAACAACATTTGTAATATGAGCAATGGCACCCCTGGGGTTATAAATGTTAACTTCTTAATGATGTTTATTAGAAATATTTATCAAGTCATACTTCAATGTTATGCCTATGTTTATTATGACAAAACAAAATCCAGATTTTCAAATAATGTAAATAATTGAATTCTTTTTTGAAAATCCTCCAGAAATTTAAATGTGATCCAAAAGTTCCTGAGGTGATGATTTTCAAAACAAAGTATCATTCAATAAATAGTTCAGCTCTATGATCTTTGACTGGGCCAAAGGTTACATTTAGATCTTTAACAAAATATAGCCTAAAATTCCAATCATAAAGTGGCTTCTCAATTTTCATAATAAGGATTGTAAAATTTGAAGCCAAATCAACACAATAGTAATTCTTCTGTGTTCAGTGTTGTATAAGTAAAATCCTTTATGTATAAATCATATTGATTCTTGTGTTAGGCATGTGAAAATCACTATTATTATTTGTCTTTGAAAGAGATCAAATGAAATGTTTGCTTGGAAGTCTACTAATGAATGTCCCTTTTAGACATAAAATCCTAAATATATCAACTTAGAAATATCACAGTCTGCATTTATGACTGATCAGAAAAGTACAGTTTAAGATTTTTGCTCTGATGTAGAACAAAGGAAAAAAGACTCAGTAATTCACACATTAAAACCTTTATTGCAATGTCTCATTGCTAGTTTGTTGTTTTACATATCAAACTAAAGAAAAACAGGATAATGATAAAATATAATCAATGAGAGTATGCAACAAGTTTTTTTTTATTTTCAAAATTCTGTAAGGGTTTAAAACTTATAGTAATGTACTGAAGGCATGAACTCAAACATTATCTTAGATTTTTTTTCACTGGAATGTTATAAAGATATATAGAAGAAAAAGTGAAATCATGTTACAAAGGTTTCACTAATTTTGATCCAATTTGAAACATGTGACTCAATCCCTGAAGTCTCATTTTGGTTTTATTCAAGATGTCATATTTCTGGTACAGTCCCACATACAGGACAGATATTTTGGCTGGAGGAGAAAGTTTAAGAAGTAGGTTGTTGAGGAAATTTGTAGCAAAATTTGAATTTTATACCCTTCTGTCTTTTTACTAGTGCTGTAGTTTTTTCTAAAAATAAAATAAAAATAAATCAGTATTCTGGATGACTGTCACCGTGTTTTATTATCAGCAGTTCATCTGCTCTATTCATGGTAATTAAAGGTCAAGATTTTCTGTAAGGAGTCTTTGCCCTTCTGTGGCACTATTCCAACACACTGACCCATGAAATCTTTGGTAAACAACAATCTTCCATCCTCAATACATTATCTACCCATTGTGGATGTATTTTAAGTGATACCTATAAACAAATTTAAGGCAACTAAAATCTGATTTTAAATATTTTATAGATGGAATTGCTTTACTGTCAGATAACCACAAAGGTCCAGATTTTGAAAAGAGGTGCAAGAGAGAATTCTGAAATAATGACAATAATAAATTAATAAGTAATATGATAAAAGCATCCATGATGTCATATTACATAATACTTTAAAAACTGTTTATATTACTTGGTAATAATATTTTAAAAACTGTATAATATTAATAAATAATTTAAAAAACCATATAATATTACTTGGTAAAAATAGATTTAAAAATACTGTATAATATAAATTTTAACAAAATTCACTGAAAACTAATTTTATCACAAAGAAATACATGAAACTGGTGAAAGAATAAATTTGAATTTGACCAGGTTTCATCTCTCAGTTAATAAAATTTTATTTATTTTATAAGCTTTTTATCTGGGAAGTTATAATCATCTTTATAAAGAGCTTCAAACCTGAATAAGCCACCAAACGTATGAAGAAGCACCCAGTAACTTTGTAGATACAGGTACATCAATGGCCATAATTAATGAGAAAAATACATTTATTCTACACAAAAAAAATATTTCTTTTAACATGATTTGCCCCTAATTCGAAATTTCTCCACTAATCACATCAACTGAACACTGTACAATAAAAATTTGGGTTGAAATTAAGTTATTAACTGTGTCAAGCTGCAGACTTATTGATCCTCCTTGTATATAAGATTCACATTTAAACAAAATATGCAATATTAGACTGCACCCAATACATTAGTGTTCCAGTGGTATGACGAGAGAGAACTACCTACCAAAGCTGAAACTGGATAAGTATAGGGCTTGGATAAATTGATACTTACATGACATATTGAAGTTAAGATGAGCAGATGGAAACAATGAGTTACCTTTCATAATGAGAGTAAATAGCTGACAGAACAATGATTGAGAGGAATAGAAAGAGGAAAAATATTACTTGGTGCTATGAAGAGTAGGAAGATATAAAGAGCCATGATCACTCATGTTCTGAACACACAACCCATAAAAGAAGAGGTTATCCACCCAATAGTCTGATAAAGCATAGGCTAACAAATATGGTGTATAATTCCTGATAAGCTGTAAGATGGGATGTTGCTTGAAAAAAAATTTTGCATTGTGGTTAGCAAATGAGGTGAAAGATTTCCTCTAATATACAGAATTTGGTACTAAAGGAAAATGCCGTTAATGGCATAAAGACCTCCAAAATACTAGAAAGAAAAGTTTTTGGCATTTGCATAATTATTTGATAATGACAAGACAATGTTAGCAGATTTTAGGGAACATGTGGAAATCAGGATACTACATTCATAAGGTAGTCAACAAAACTAAAATGTTAGATTACCAGATCACTGCTCCGAGCTTCGTATTTAAATAAGGCTGCTAAATTTGGTTAAGGTTTTATATCACTAGACCAATGTATTATTTATTTTACTAGAAACTTAAGTGATTTTCTCTTGTTTTAAGATACTTTCTATGTTACTCTATAAACAGGATTAACTGCATCATTATACTTGCATTTTTATGTTCAGTTGAAATAGATCTATTCTTCAACATCTGTCTATATTTCTGAAATGCACTATTGTAACTATTTACATTGTTAAGACACATGGTTCAATGGCTAAAAGTTTTGGTTGAAGTAATCCAGTGGCTTAACCCAAAGGGTTGTGAGTTCAATAGCTGGCCACAGCAGAAGTGAACAAAAAAATTGGAGAGTTGAGTTACTAAAGGGAAATTAGAAATTGAGATATACAGAAAAGGCATGGCATGTGGACTAAATAAAGAGTTTGATTTGAAATTCCAACATATCACCTGAAGAAGGCAGGAATGTACAACAGCCGAAACATCATGAATATGGCAATAAAGAAGCGGACAACAATTTGAACAATTTAAATAGAGTAAATAGATCTAATCTTCATCAGTACAATACACATTAAATATGATATTGTTAAATCTTATAAAGGCTTAACTGTAATTCCTAAATATCAAACTTATAAAAATAATTAAAATTAATTTTAATTTCCAAAGACACTGAAGTTTTAAATAGACTTGAATGCTTTGTATGATAATTTTAAAAAACATTCAGCCATTTTAAGACAATGGCTGATTTGTTAGTATTTTTGTATTCCTTTTAATGCAGCAAAGAGAATGATTCATTCCAATAAATCATCAAGTAGTAGCTTAATAATTGTCTCATGCTATACAGAAAAGACATTGTATTCTTATCTATATCTTTATTGCTGTTGTTATCACAGTGTTTCAGCTATTGTGCCTTCCTGTCTTCAGGTCTCTCTTGATCTCAGTAGCCTTCAATGAATTTTGAACTAATGCATTTATTTAATCTGAAGTTTAGTTTGTTCTCATTTCACTGTACATGTCTAGAGATGTCTTGTCTGCTCAATTATTGCTCACCCTGTTTCCACCATGAATAAGTTTGTACTACCCAGCCCAGAATTCACAATTACTATGACAAGGAATTCACAAGCCAACACTTTAACCTACTAGTCTATTGTCCCATAAGACAATCCTGAATCTATAACTTGGAGCCTTAAACCGAATCATGTTCTGCAATTGAAGCTGCTGTCATGTTTAACCTCCTTTGCTGTCAGTTC